CCGGTCAAGTTAGGTGTATTCAGAGACTTGCACTCATATACACAGAATCGTGCCACTCAAGAGTGTGAAGAGAAGACCTAATTAAGTTTGTAACGAGATTAGAGAGCCAAAAATATGGTTTGGAGTTGCATTTCTTGGAGACATCCTAACAGAGGTGTTACACGATCGCCATCTTGGCCGATCCCCCTGAATTTGCAGCTTTAAAAAAGCAGCTTAAATGATGGCTAGCTAGTAAAGTCAGCTAATGGTAATTCCCTCCCGGTGCAACAGAAATAGTACGTTCAAATGTATTTAACTCACCGTTAGTGGTGTAGACGAAGTCTGCGGTACAGCAGCGTGAAGTGCAGCCCGCACACCTGCTGCAATTGCCCGTTCAATTTTCCCTAAGGGCATAGAGCCTGAGCTGCTGGTGGCCATGTTTTAACGTCAGATTTCCCTCCCATTCCCACGGACCCAGAGTCAGGTGTGGGTGGGGCTGTGTTTGAGGTCTTTGAGTCAGCATCACTGATTCGAGTTCAGCATCATGGGCGGGGCTGTGTGCTGTGCTGTGGACCTACTAAATATTTAGTTTTATACTCGGCAAGACATGGAACATTTACATTTATATTTAACATTTACATTTAGACTTTGTCACATTTAGCTAAATGTGAGAAAACTTGTGTTATTTTTACATTCGGTGCCCCATACCTATGTTCAACATACTCCTACCTTGGGGCAAGTTGTGACATAGGACTAAGTTTTTTGGATGGGTCATACGTCTAAAACTATATTAGCTATATGATACATTTTAATTTCGGTGGATGTACAACAACTTTATACACATCTATGTTACCATAGAATCATGGTATGTAAAAAGTGAGTCATTTTACTCGTTCTATCCTACTAAAATCATTCAACTGAAATAAATAATTAACTGGATTGGAAGTGGTTGTGCCATTAGGAAATTATTGAATGACCTACTTACTTTGCTAGTGTCAGGAGTTTGACATTTAGGATTCAGAGCGGAATAGATTCACAAATATCAGATGGAATGCCATAAAATGTCTTACAGATGTTCAATACCAAACAATTCGGACCAAAATTAACAGTCATTTTCAACAGTCTCCAGTGCTTAATTATTAAAGTATGAGGTCGCGGAATATCACTTGGTGATGGACCTGACATGTCAGTGTGGGGAGAGGAGGGTTTGGATCATATTAGGGTTCAGGTTTGGTGAAGCAAAACTCGTTGGGCAGAGTTTGACACCACACCCATGCATACTGGCACAAATGAACCCTTGGCAGTCTAAACCATGGAAACGCCTATTAACGCCCTGAGGTGCAGTCAGTCAGTCCAACCAAGACAGATGAGTCGAGTGCGTCGACATTTACAGAGGTTGCCTGACGGCTTATATATAATATCCTCATCTTTCTTATGGTTCTCAGTCTGCTCTGCATCAGGAGGAGAATATACTTCAGTGTTCGGTAAGTTAATGGACATGTGTGTTAATAAGTGCTGATATCACACGGAAGTAAATCCTACTACATTGTTGAGCTATTGAAAGATGTGAAAATGCCCACTTTTGATGTTTCTGACATTAAAGTAAATACAAATTAGCCATAGTACAATTTTTCATGGCACATACTGTACGTTGAACTTGTCTTGAGCATAAATGTAATTCAGGAGTAGTAAGACCTTGTTATGGTACGTCCCCCTCACCAGGAGGGTGAGGGAGAACTAGGGGTAGGACTTAAAATTGCTGACCCAGGTGCTAGTACAAAACAAGAGGTTTGATGATGACGACGACACTTTATTACAGACTCAAGGTCCAAGTTCAAAAACAAATAAAAGCAATAAAAGAACAGTTTAAAACCGAAACAATAAAAACAGAATACATAAAAACGAGAGCACAAGAACACCCATAAAACTACTACCCCTTTAAAAGACAGGTATACCAGTGTTTCCAGAGAACCGAAGTAAAACGCATGTCACTGTGTGCAACATTAGTCAACGATAAAAT